TACTGCTGCAATACTCTGCTAGGGGTTAATTCCCAAAAACCCTAACACTGGCTATTAGCATATAGATATGTCATTAGGAGTTTCAGCTCTTCTTGCCCTTATGGAAAAAGAGATTAAACTCACCAGAGTTAACAAAATCAAATTTTATTGTGAAAAAATAATCAGAGACAAGAGTCTGTAAATTAAAAAGAGAGAGAGAGAATGCTGTGATCCAGGCCAGCCACAGGATGATGCTGGTCTGTTATAAAAGAGACAGACAATGTTGCAGTTTAAGATCAGAGACTACCAGAATCATATTTTCCCCACCAACCTGAAGTCAGGAATGCAAGGCCGAGATTATAATGCCTATGTCCTCATTTATACAGAGAAATGGGGAATCATATGAGCACGCAACTGAGAAAAAGGAAATAATCCTTATATATGTCCCTAGCTAGACTTTTTAGCTATTGCTCTAAAATGATAATTTTCTTGAGAACCAATGTTCCATCTGGATCAATTATCTGGCCATCTTCTAGATTTCTGACAAGTTCAAACTTTAATCAGAGGCTACATGAAATGATGTTAGTCGTTGTCTTTTCCCAGCTTTGTTTCCCATCTTATTTAATTTCCCAGTTCTGCCTTTGTTTTTGTTTTTGAAAGAATCAATTTTCTTCCACCCATAGAATAAAGGGAGGGACTGAAGTATCCATAATATGAAACAGAACTCTCTTTTGTGGGAATGTGTATTTTGCATGTGGGAAGCAGCTTGTGTACTGAGTGTGGGTAATATCCAGAACAAATTGCAAGTAAACACATGTGAGATCTCTCTCTGTATTGCACGCGAAGCTGGTAAATTGATGCATGCAGACTTGATAGATATAGATTTTACAGGCATGCCAAATATCCAGGGCAACAGCTTAAAATAGAGGCTGTCTTTGCCGGTGCCTGCCGTATTGACAAAATGCACGCATTCGTTTTTCTTCAAGAGAATGAATTGGATACCAAAGGGAACATATTGATGCCAAAGCCATTATCACTTAGCACGTCTTTTTTTCTTTTTCTTTTTGTGGTCTGGGGAGAGATTGGAAATACGAGTTACATTAGTGTTACACACAACAACTGGCTTAGACAAAACATGTGAACTTTGAACATTATTATTATGTTATTAATTATTTGTTTAAAGACTGCATGGCTAATTCTCTACTAATCCAGAGGGACAATATTTATAAACTGTTTTCAGGGCAGAAAAGAGAAAGTAAACAGAGAAGTTAAATGTTATTAAAACTACACTGCTTTCCTTTGGCGAGAGCCAGCTTGGTGTAGCAATTAAGGCATCAGGGTAGAAACTGGGAGACTGGGAGTTCTAGTCCTGCCTGGACATAAAGCCAGTTGGGTGATCTTGGTCCAGTCACTTTCTCTCAGTCCTAGAAAGGAAGCAATGGCAAACCACTTCGGAAAAACCTTGCTCCCCCCAAAAAACCTGCAGACTTGAACTGGACAGGATTGAACAGATGAAAAAAATACTTTCCTTTGCAGCAATGCCTCACCATTTGATCATTTCATTCCCCTTGGTTCCAGTTCTTGCTCCAATCCAGTACACCTCTTCCTTCACATATACATCAGAGAAACTATCCCCACCTTTCCCTTTTCAACAACCTGTCCTCTGCTTTGGTATGCAGCACTGATGCCCTGGGGGTGGGGTGGGGGAATGCTGTCTCGGTCCGTAACACCAAAGGGTTTTCCTTTCCATATCATAATTCTTAAGAGCCTTCAGGTTATTTTGACACAACATGCATGCAAATACAGCCCCTTTTCCTGGAATTAAAAGCGCCCATTTATTGTGACATCCCAAAGAGGCTGCCTGAAACAGCTGCCTACTCAGCTTGATGGGAGACCAGCTCTGCTGTCAGGACACAAGATGCTACTGCTGTATCTTGAGCAGGGCTTGGGCTTGTGTAAAACATACAGACCAATTCTTAAGTAGTGGAGGAGCTCCAAATACCTGTAGCTCAGGGTTAAACTATGGGGTCTTGGGATTCTCTGAGCTTGGTTTTTTTCCTAGGTAACATCATCAGTGTGAGTGCAGGATTTGTTACCCATTTATATGCAGTAACTTCCCCTGCCAGTTTTGGAGGGGGTGTGATTTCCCCCATGGTGATGCCTTTATTACTGTTTTCTTCCTGGTTGTCTAGTGCTGATCCCTGCTTACCCGAATAAGGGCTGCTACAGGGGGATGTGTTGCAGTCTTTTGGCTTCATTCCTAGTCCAAAAGTAATCTGAGTGACAAAATGGAGATCTGTAGAGTTTATTTTGGGGAGGTAGGAGTGGAGTGTTTTTGGTACATCAAGGTAGTTCTCCTTTTCATCACAGCTCCTCCTTCTGCGCCTCTGATCTATCAGCCGTTGCAATGGACTTGAGATTAGATGCCCACCAGAGGTGGTAATCAGCAAGTTCTGACCAGTTCTGGAGAACCGGTAGCGGAAATTTTGAGTAGTTTGGAGAACTGGCAAATACCACCTCTGACTGGCTCCGCCCCCATCTATTGTCTGCCTCCCGAGTCCCAGATGATTGGCTGGGTCTTCTTTTGTTGCCCTGCACAGGAGAACGGAGCTGGAAATCACGTTAGCGAAGTGGGGAGGGAATGGAGATTTTACAGTATCCTTTCCTTGCCACGCCACAAAGCCATGCCATGCCATGCCCACTAAGCCACGCCCACAGAACTGGTAGTAATAATTTTTGAATCCCAACACTGATGCCCATTCAAAATGGTGCTAAACCTGTATAGCTGAGGGCTACATGGCAGATGCATCTGATGCAGTAATTCCAACTTTCCTACAGCTGTCAAAATGGCTGTTGAGGAAATGCTCAGCAACCAGAGCGAAGGAGATGTCCCCCGTGAGTAACCTAAAGTAGCCAATAAAAGTTGGACAGATCAAGATATCACCATCCAAAAGTACTGTATCTTAGAGTATGTCAAATGCAAAAATGTGATTGGCTGAGATAGAAAACTAGTCTTTAAAACTCAATCTGCAAAATAATGACTCTAATGAGCCTTTGCAATGGGTTGGAGATGAAATGAAAAAGACATAAAGACATGATATTTACACATGTTTATGGTGTATTTTCAGGTCATGCTGAGAGAGGTGTGACAAAGAGCTTTAGGTGCTGCTGATTATGCTGGTCAGGACAGAACATGGAATCAATACAGTCCTTGACTTACAACAGTTCGTTCAATGACCAGGTTGTCAAGTTACAACAAGCAGTGAAAGAGGTGACTTATGACCATTTTTCACACTTACGACCATTGCAGCATCCTCATGGTCATGTGATCAAAATTCAGATATTTGGCAATTGACTCATATTTACGACGGTTACAGCATTCGGGGGACATGTCACCAGTTTTTATGACCTTCTGACAAGCAAAGTTGATGGGGAAGCCAGGTTCACTTAACAACTGTGTTACTAATTTAACAACTGCAGTGATTCACTCAACAACAGTGGCAAGAAAGGTCTAAAATGAGCCAAAACTCATTTAACAAAAGTCTCACTTAACAACAGAAATTTTGGGCTCCATGGTGGTTGTAAGTTGCACCCTTGCTTTCTCCTCCCATAGTGGGAAGGAATTTATTATGCCTGCTCTTTGGTCAGCTTAGATTTTGGGTCAATTTAAGAGGGAGAGTTTTAGGCTGGGCTGGATTCTTATAGACCAGGGATGTCAAACTTGATTTCAGTGAGGGCTGCATCAGGGTTGTGTTTGACCTCAGGGGGCCAGGGTGGGCATGGCCAGCTCAATGTCACTCGTGTCGGGGGTGCCTGTTGTGGCTCTGAGGTTCGAGCCTGCATTGTTAGAGGACGAAGACTCGGACAATGGAGAAGAGGAGGATTTGGAAATGCCTTCCTCCCCAGGACCTTCCTCTTCGGCAATGCCTTCCTCCCTGATTGTGCCTCAGGTGTCGGCAGATAACCGAGAGGGAAAACCTGAGGCTAATCAGGAAAAGGAGGAGAGCATATCAGAGTCTCTGACTGAGAATCAAGCAGAGGAATGCTGGCTTGATGCGAGGCAGCGGCGTAGGCAAAAGTGCGAGCTGCAATGCAGAAAGAAGGGACGAATCAGAGACTGAGCTGAGGGACTGACACACCCCACAGGGAATAAAAGTGGGTGTGTTAGCTCTGAGAGTTTCGTACGGGACAACGTGTGACTTATTCAGAGGAGCTCCAGATTATTCTGTGTGATTTATATTCCTGCTTTCTTGTCAGACTTGGCAGACAGCGTGTGTGAGACTGCCAAGAACTTTATCGGCTCAAGGAGTTAACTCTATAATTACTGGATTTGCTTGCTTGTTTGTATTCAATTGGAATTTGGACTTCTCACCTCCTTTGTAAAGGTGAGACATAACAGGTGCCTATGGGGGCCCAAGTGCTCTGCCAGTGAAAATGGGTTTGTGAGCTCCGTTTTTGGCTGAAACGGCCTCCTGCAACCCTCTGCCAGCGAAAACAGCTCGTTTTCGCTGGCAGAGGCGCCACAGGCTGGTCCTTCGCTTTTTCCAAAGCGGCCCCGTGGGCCAGATCTAAGTACCCCGTAGGTTGCATCCTGTCTGCCGGCCTTGAGTTTGACACCCCTGTTATATTTGACTGTCTTCAAAATTTACCCCATATTTTATCCACACTATTTGCAAAAGCCCCCAGTGGAGCAGGCTCAGGGGCATAAAGTTCCACTATTAACCAGCTGGAGATGGAGGCCGTAGAATTCAAGGTCCTCAAGAAATCCTTACAGACAACAGAGACAGCTCAATAAACCAAATTAAGAATCTAGCCCTCTCTGAAGTTGTCAATAGTTTTCTGGGATTCACTCTCCCTTTTTCCCCCCTTGGAGGTCTCCAAAGAAGAATAAAATCTGTGGTTTTTTTTTTTTTTTAAAAAAAACGTTGAACAGGCAGCTGCCTTCTTACTGATGAAAAGGAATATTATTTAAAAGCAGATTGTGTTCTAAGCATTTCTGCTCCCACTCAGGCAAACTGCATCAATAACCACCCATTAAGAGTTCTGCATTCTGATTTTTACAAGTGGGAATTGTAGCTGGATACAATGCAATATTATCTTAAACCCCAGGAAATAAAAAAGAGTAAGTCTGAAAAGCATCAGGGGTAACATTTCAGAGAACATTTGTTCACAAGGAGACCTTTATCCCCCTTCTAACATAAGGTCTATTTATGGTGAGATGACATCTGCAGCATCATGTTCTTTGAGAGCCCGATCCTCTGAAAAATTATTAGTATATACTAGGAGCCCAAACTTTAAACATTAAAACAGACCGTGGGAAGATACAGCCTCCCTGCTAGATTTCATCAGATTTTCAGTATATCAGCATATGATGTATACTTTGCTGAAAATATTCTGCCACTGGGCTCTAATGAAAGTAGTTCTCAAGACAGACCAATCTGAACCAGCTTTGTAACTATTTTGTGTATTGAGCCTTCATTTTCTGTGCTGATCATTTCTCTTTTAATCTGAGAGCATCCAGTCCTGCAATCCGGCTTTTAGATCAACATAATATTTCCATCCACAAAGATGAGCAGCAGAATGTATGTTCATCATAACCCCATGGAATCTGCCATCACGACAGATTCCTGCATGGGAAATTCAAAATGGTGACAATTGTACTTTGGTAAATTAGAAGTGTTGTATGTTGACATCTTATGGAACCAAAAAACCTTAGATTTCAGCATCAGACTTATAGTAGCAGTTACTGGATGTGGCGATTTGTGTTTGAAGGTGATTTGTGTCTTGAAGGTCATTGGCAATCTTCAGTATTTCTAAGCCTTATTGCTGGGGTGAGGATAGGAAAATTACTTCACATGGAAACCCTTTCTGATTTTGTTCTATCGCTTGAACAAAGCAGACTTGAGACCGGAGTTGTGTTCAGCTCTTTATTCAATAACCAAGTAACTTCAACTAAAGTCGAGCCACGGCAGCCCTTTGTCCCAATCTGACTACCGGAATTCTATTTCCTTGGTAATCTTTTAACGTTAGACTTTGCTCTTCGAGTTCTTTTCGTCGTATATCTGGTATCAAGTTTTTTATTGTGTTCTATGATACCATTGACAAATACGAACCGGAGTCCACTTCCATTTCGCAGGGCTTCCCTTCTATTTTGACATTTAGTCGAAACTTTTTGGCCACTCTTGCTCTGGTGTTCCCGATAATCAGCGTCTGGTGTGTTTCTTCCTTCTCATGGAATCGCTGGCTTCTATTTTCTTTGTTCCATCGATTTCCGGTGTGCTTCTCCTTAGTTCTGGGGGGGGGGGGTACTGCCTCTCCTCTTTGGACTATAGCTCTTTTTGTTTCGGCAGACCCTTGCAATGTGCCGCCATTTTTCACAATGCCTACAGGTGGCATCTAAGAAACAGCACTCCGAACGTGGGTGATTTCCTCCTCATCCTGCACATTGGAAATCAGGTTTCCTACTTCTCCTTTCTCGTCGGTTTCGCTCTGATTGGAGTCTGTTTACCTCCTCATCGTCTGCTTCAGAGTCGGTTGATGACTCGATGTCTTCATGGTGGATAGTTGCGGTGGTGTGTTTCTGGGTACCTTCCGCCTTCTTTTCTCTACTCTGGGTTCGGCTGTTGGCTGTATTCATCTGTTTCATTTTTGCCGTGGATTTTTTTGCTGCTTCGGCTGCGGTTGCTTCAGCGACGGCTTCGTTTACGGTAATATTGGGTCGGTTAAGTAGTTTTCTCTGCAGGGTGGCATCTCTCAACCCGAGGACTATACGATCCCTCATGGCTTCGTCCATATTGAGGAACTCGCATGCCCCCCCCAATATTCCTTAGTGCTGCTACGAAGTCACCAATACTCTCGCCTTCTTGTTGATCCCGTTTGTAAAACTCGTGTCTTCGAATGAGGTTGGACACGACAGGCGCGTAATGGTTTCTCAGCATTCGGTTCAGGTCTGGCCACGCCATTTGTTTGACGTTGTTCGGTTTCGCCAATGCCTTTGCCATCTTAAAAACGGTCGGGCCACAATGTGTCAGGAATACGGCTCTCTTCCTCTGGTCAGTGATTCCTTGCAGTTCGTTGCTTTCCAGGAACATCAGGAACCTGTTGATATAGGATTCCCAGTCTTCTTCGGCTGGGTTGAACGGTGCGGGTGGTGAGTTGTTGCCGGCCATTTCGTTGGTTTCTTTTGGCTTCTTTGCCATGTGCTACGGTCTTTGTTTTTTCAATCTCATCCTCGTCGCCAGTGTTCTATCGCTTGAACAAAGCAGACTTGAGACCGGAGTTGAGTTCAGCTCTTTATTCAATAACCAAGTAACTTCAACTAAAGTCGAGCCGCGGCAGCCCTTTTTATAGCGGCTGCTCGCGGCTCGCAACCAATGGTGTTTATTTAAACTTCCCACCGCTTAGGCGGCCAATCCGGTTTGTTGTTATCGACCAATCGCCCAGCAATGGTATCTATCCAATGGGAATGCAGTATTACAAGTCTGTGGAGCATGTACACTAGTTTTCTTTTTAAATTGCCTACAAATTCAGAACTGCCCCACTTGTATCAGCATCCAGGTTGCTGGATATACTTGACTGAGCCCCCTACCATGTCAGCACTGTACGTAAATTCCCAGCCACTGGTATAAGATTGTGTAATACTTGGTCCCTGCCATCTATTTTTGATGGGAATAACAATGGGGAAGGGGGCTTTGTAGAAGAGAGTGTTTTGTGCAAAACAAGTCTGCCTTTTCAATAAACATGATACATTGAACACATCACTAATACCTTCCTGCTTAGGACTCCAACAAGCACTTTGCCTTGGGCCTCCAAGCAGGAGTTCCACTTTCATCCATTTTACAAAATAGAAAGGCTGCAGATCTCTGCTTCTTCTCTCCTTCTCTCTTCTGGTGTATGTGTGAATGCTAGAACTTATACGAACTGTCTACTGCTGAAAAACTCTCGCGTTGATTGGTGCGCCTTAGTAGTGTTTCCAGGGACACGGGGAGCAGAGAAATTGCTTGTCTTTTTCAATGCTATTTTTGGATTTTCTGTGTATTGTGTGCTTTTTTCTCCATCTTTGTGCTACCGTGATGGTCTAAACACTCAATGTTGTTATTTATTCCATTACTACGCTGTTTCTCAGCCCAAGTAGGCAAGCAAGATGCCTGATAAGATAAAGATTTAAAAATATGTCAAAAGCAGTGCAATTAAAGCATAACTGAACATTCTACATCATGACATCATGTTAAAACGTGGAACTGCCTACTCTGAGTATGTAGAGCTAGCGATGGCATATATGCCTGCTTTTCTTAACCTGGTGAACTTCCCATAATCCCTAGCCAGCTTCGACCAGGTTTTGGCAGCCAGCAATGGGAGACGGATTCTGACACATCAGCCTGGAAAAGGTTTGGTGTATGCCCAGACCTGTGGGTGAAAATTTCCATCTGACACCATTTGCTTCTGTGGAAGCACTTTGGGTCAGACCTTTGGGGGGGGGGGGGCGTGTTCTCCCATCATGAATTAATAGCAAGAGGGCCGCCTCAACCTGATGACTGTGTACTATGCATGCATCACACCACAAGAAAGCACCCCAGCCCACTAGCCTAGCGTATCTACCACGGGGAATTGGGGAAGGTGTGGGTTAGATATGAACGCTGCGTGGAGGATGTTAGAGACCGGCCTTGCCATTTTCACGAGAGTCCCATACCCCTTGCCCGCTATAACTCCTGCTATCGATAAGAGCGCCAGAAATAGAAGCGAGCGTGGACAGCGTTGCTCTTAAAGCTTCGCAGTGCGACGATTTTGCAATCAATCAATCAGTCAATCGAAATAAATTGCCCGCTTAGCCAACGTCAACCGAAAAACCATGACCCCGTTGGGTGAGCCCGGCATCAGTCATGGGCGCCACTCAGGCTCCAAACGCTTCGAAGCGCGCAAGCGGACGTGCCGTGGCCCCGGTCCAGACGGTTCGAAGCCTCGATCCGAACGGGAAGCCCGTCGCGCTAGCGCGTCCGGGAATGAGGAGCGCGTGCGGGAGGAGAGGTGGGGAAGCGAGGCTCGCTTGCTTTGGCCGCCCGGCGTAAATCGGGCAACGCGCGCGCGCAGCCGGGCCCCCGCTCGCGCTCGAGCGAAGGGCATGCGCGCGCGAGAGAGAGAGCGAGAGCGAGCGAGAGAGCGCGCGAGCTCAGCCGGGTCACACTTGACTGCACGTGCAGCGACGCCCCTTCCTCGCCCGGGCGCGCGCCAAACCGTGGCACCTGGACAAGCGGCTGCCCGGCCGCCTCTTCTCGCGCTCCCCCCACCCGCCCGGCCCCGCTCCTTTCCTGCTGCTTACTGCAGTGTTGGGGGGAGGGCAGATCTGGACCAAGATGGCGTTGCTGCTGTTGCAGTTTCTCCCAGGGTCAGCACTGGAACAGCTCCCGCCTTTGCTTTCCCATTAGCGCCGGCCACCGCGGCCCCTTTGAAGTTCTGCAGTCGTTCGGAAGCTTCTTTCCCGCCCGGGCATTATTGCTGCCCTCTGGCCGTTTCCTCTCGCCGCTCTAATCTCTTCACTACTGTGGAGGGCTCCTGTTTTGGTGCAAAGCTTTCCTCCCTGTAGCAGCCGGACTTGGAGGGGTGCGGGGGTGGGGGGAAGAGCCGAGCGTGAGACCGTATTTTGGGCTCTTGCAGGCGCTCGCGAGGCTGTGTGCATTCTTTGGCTGACTGCAAGCAGTCCGATCCGGCACAATTTTATTTTGCTGTTGGCATCGTCTTTTGTTTTTATTTGGCGCTGCAGCCCCGAATACCAGGGCGATCGCATATATATCTATATAGATATAGATATTTATATATATATATATTGGCTTCAGAAAAACAGCCCTTACCGCCGTGGTGGTGGTTGTTCTTTAAGTGACTCTCTCTAATGCTACCTTTTGCAAGTGTGGCAATTTCTAGCCGAGCCCACTTCATCCCGTGGATACCTGAAGGAGACGCATCGGGATAATAACATGGAGGAAGAGGAGGAGCTGCAGTCTTGAATTCCCTGGCTGTGCTGTCAAGAAGAGAGGAGATGGTGATTTTTAATGTGACACCCGTGCAACTTCTGGAGTTGTGAGAGCTTTTAATCTCCCCTGCATCCCATCGCCTCACCTGCCTGGTGCCCACCGCCTTTGCTATTTATTTATTTATTTATTTATTTTTAAATCTACTTTTCGTTCTCTCGTCTTCGTACTTCCCACAAACCCCCTCCCCACTTTTCTGCTTTTGCCATGGGAATGGTGGCAAATCTCTTGGCTATTGTCATGTCGGCTTCATTTTTCAACCCCAGCTTTGCCTTCAGTTCGCACTTCGACCCTGGTAAGTTGATTTACTTCTGGAGCTTTGGAGTAAAAAAACAAAAAACAAAACAGATGCTTGGATGACTTTTTTCACTTTGCAAAATTACTATGTTCCACTGGCCTTCCTATTTTCCTCTTGGGATTTGGTTTTCCTATCCTTGCTTTCCATCTCTGCTACCAAAAATGAGTTAAATTTTGTAGCATGTTATTCCCTCCTCTTGCAGGTTACCTGCCCCCCTCCCAAGCCTTGGTTCTTGCAGCACTTCATTGCATTGTTTTAACCCTTTGCTAAAATTGTTCCAGCTTATATAATAGTTGAAGGTAGGCTGGCAACTAAAGGGAACAAACAACAAAACCCTCACACAGTGCTTTTGTCTTGGATGTAATTATTTTAGAAAGGTTCCAGAAGAACAGCTCCTTCCTGCAAAGTTACATCACCAATAATCAGTTATTCCACCCTTTCCCTTCAGTCTTTTTGGCAATTGAGAGTATGTAAAAAAGAATTCTTGGGCATTTCAGTAGAAATTAAGTATACACAGAGACCTAATTTTCCCCGATAGATGTGCAGTATCCTTGCATGTAACAAGATGTTGACCATATCAGCTGTTTAAACATAGAGGGTTTTGTGTAACGAACTGTGAATTGCCTTTTTCTTGCCTGGAAAGTTGCTTTGAATCGCAAAGGTAGAATTGTAGACAGGTTTGGAGTCAGAGCTGTGTCTCTGCATTCTCAAAGTGGTTGCTTTGAATAAAGTCAAGAAAAATAAGGAAAAGGATAGTTATTCACTTGGGAACTGGGCCTTCTCTGAGGTAGATGCCAGACTGAATTTATATCCCCCTAGTGGAATGATTGTCAGCCAACAACCTTTTGGCTAGGTAATTGGTAGCCCTGGATTTGTGGAAGAGCAGTGTGTTGTCTTGGCAAAGACCAAGTTGTGTTGCAGTCCCTGAGAGGCCTACATCTTTTGGTAGTGGGTTTCTCTGCTTTTTCCTACTCAGATATTCTCAAAGGTAGAAAAATATCATTTCTTCAGTCAAGTTTCTTCCTAGAGGGATTTTATACCCATTGTCTGAATTCTTTTTGCTTAAGATTGTTGAAATAAACTTCAGGGTCCTGTGGTTTTCATATCACTCCCTCCTACCTTGAAACCTTGATTCCTAATCTCTCTTCACTGATTTGTGGATTCCATGGACCTTATCCGTATAAACTGTTCAATTGACTTAGAAACGGGTGTGAATAAAAGATGAATGTGGCTTTTAATACCCTCAAATGTCACTTTTCTATTCTCCAGTACAATCTTCAAATCAAAACTATCTGCCTTGTTTTGCTGTGATTAAAAGATTTTGGCAAGTTTTTCTTGATTCCATTGCAGTTGTATCTGACAGGCCTAGAATGAGGTTTTGGCTCTGTTATGGATTGAAAGATCTCCTTAAAGTCATTTATTGGGTATTAAAAATGGGTGTATATTTGGAGGTGGGGTGAAGGAATTATAAGCAAATAGAACTTTATTTGTTATGACTTGATTTATTTGTTCTGATTTGATTTCTTTATTGCTTTGTTAAATTTCACAATAAATGGCCCTACAGCACACAATGAGTAAGGCTCCATCCCACACTTTCCTGAAGGTAGCCACCCATAAACAAAAGCCAGTAAGCAACAAAACAATTTTTAAAGGCAGAGAGGAAATCCAAAGACAAGGTGCAAGCTCACTGGGCAAGGTCCACAGGGCAGGACAAATCCACAGGGCAAGGCAAGTCCACAGGACAATGGCACAAAGCAAGGCACAGGAAGAAACACAAGTCAAGGCTGAGGTTGTTCTCCCCGCCCCCCAAAAAAGCCAGGGGAGTGCAAAGCAAACAATTGTTCCTGACAAAGACAATCTCTCCTGGCCTTTGCTTAAGTCAACCCAAGCCAAGTGTTCCTTGTGAGGAGGGGTGGAGCGACCTTCTCTCAGCCTCACAGACATCCCCTGATCTTGCCTCTGCTCCACTCTAGCTGCCCTCAGATCGAATGGGGGAGGCAGCTATTCCTCATCAGAGTGGATCTGTTGCCTCTCAACATCATTGCCTTCTGCATCCTTCCCTGTGTCTGTGAGGACAGGCAGCTCTCTGTCTCTATCTCCCTCAAAGGGGCCCTAGACAGCATCATCCTCAGGCCCTGGCCTCTCTAAACATTCCAAGGGAGATGTGCCATCCTCATCGGACGGTCCCGGTTCCAATGCCCCCTGTTGAGGTAATTCCTCGTTAGGAGAATGAGTGCATACAGGGAGACGTAGTGAGAGTAGTGAGGAATAACACACAACCAGCACACAGATATACTGTATAGTAAAATGTAGGTTTTTACGTCCAGTAAACGGTTAAGCAAAGTCCAACAAGCAGTCCAAGTCATACACGGTTATAGCAGTCAGTTTTCAGTCCAGGGATAACCCAAATATCAAAAGTCCAGTATCAAAAACAATTCAGTAATAGACTCACATCAATCCAAGAATAACGATGATCAGCAACAGTCAATAGGGAAATGCAGGAACGGCAACACTCTCTGGGAAACCAGGTTTCTGGCTCCATCGTTTGAGGATCCACACCCAATTACAATTTTAGCATTCCCTTAAAGAGACAGTATTAAAATGTCTATCCTGGTTTATATATTTCCAACCCAACTGTTAGGTGACTTACATTCCTAACACCCCCTTTTCCTCTGAACTGGGATCTGATGGGGTCATGACATTATGTTTATTAAACATACGTATTTTCTTTGACCGCTTTTGAACCATAATTTGCTAGGTATTATCTTTCGTGAGAATCTGTGACAAGACCATTGGATAAAATATAGAGTTAACATCTCAGAGTATGCAGGTCCATCATGCAGGCAAGAGAAAAACTTTGTGTTGTATAGGTAATTATACTTAAGGTTTTGTGTTGAATATGTAGAACAGGCCACATATAAAAATGGAACTCTTTCCTTATGTATATTACAATGGCTGAGTGTGTTTCAGGATTATATTCCATCCATCTAGCTACCAAAGGAAGTTGATAAATTGAGTGTGAAATAATTATGTTTTTGCTTCCCATCTCTCATGAATTCTAAACATATGGGTCAACTGGAGTTTCCAAATGTCTTTGGCTAGAGCTGTTTGCTAAAAGCAATATAAATATTCAATCTTTCATAATGGCAGACACACATTAAAGAGAAACATTATAATATTGTATTCTTTTTCTATATTGTGAACTTTCATACTCAGGGAGAAGAAAAATATATTGGCATAATTTATAAAAAGCATCCAGGAAGCATTTGTTCATTGTATGTAACCATTAAATGGCAAACATTGTTAGGATGATAAGAAAAAGAGGGGAAAGGCCATATAGAAAAGATAAAAATAGATACTTTAGTTATGCTTTTCCCCCTTAGTATGATCTCTGCTTGCTTCTTGAATAATAAATAAAACTTTGGGTGCATTTAAAAAAAAATTGCTTTGGAAAATGGAACGTTTACTATATTAGGAAGTGAGAGAAAGAGTCTTCATTTTTTAACATGTAAATAAAAAAAAAATAGGAAACAGTTACTTACTTATATATAATCCTTCAAAGAAACAGAAGTCAAGAAGTTACTTTAGAACTTTATTCCTAACTTGCAAAAACTATTCTATATTAAAGCTTAGTCAATATTAGTAACTAGAGAAGATGAATGGCCAGACTGAGTTTGTATTGGATTTTCTGCAAATTAACTTTATTTAGGTCATACACCAACATGCAGGTGGCCTGCCTACAAGAAACTGTAATATGTTCTGGATTAGTTGTAATATCAGTTCTGCATTATCTTACAGTTTTAGGAAGTGTATCACAACCTAATTTTTCTGATTTTTATAGAACACCATCAACAGTGTTACTTTGTATTTTTCCATGCTTCATCATTATTGGAGGGAGGGATAGGGGATAAACGTGTGGAACAGTTCTTGAATGCTATTGACTGTTCTCCTCAGTTAAATATCACACAAGGAAATGTGGTAAGTAACATTTTTCAAACCTGACCCATTGCCATCGTTGGACTAGACAAGTTGTCTTCAGTGCTAAGAAAACATCTTGAGCTAATGATTCCTGTTTTTGTTTTTCTTTGAGTGTGATTTGAGTCTCTTGCCTGAGTCATCTGGAAATATTTTTCACTGAGCTGCTATTCTGTGATTATAGAACACAATATAGCCTTGATTATGATTTAGGTCCCAGAAAAGAGAATTACTTGATATGTGGATTGTCCTGCTTCATAGAAAAGTGGCTAGATTAGGTAGATTTAGTCTACAGGTTTAGTGCAGCATATGGTAATAATACTAATTAATCTATTACTGATCTGATCACTAAGATCATTACTGAAAGTTTAGGTACCCTAACTCCTAAAAAACCTGTGACAAGTTTGCACAACACCACATTTTAAAGTATGTAAACAGTTTCATTTTATTATAAAGGACCTAAAATGAACTGGTTAGCAAATAGTATGTGGATCTTTTCTAGATATGTATGGCAAGGCATGGACCATTTCCTTGGTCCATTAAAACTTCTGGTTGATATTGGGGCAGATACATTGGGCTTTGCATATTACTTTTATACAATGCAATTATGTTTATGTTCTTACAAATCTCCAGTTAAAATTGGTATCAGGAATAACTCACACATTTGATGAGATTTGGGATTTGGAAAGGATCCCTAATTAAATTCTGGAATTTTTTGATCCTGTTATTTCTCCTTTTCCATTCTCTTTCTATGGATTCATTCTACACTTTAATAA